GGGGGGGGGGGGGGGGGGGGGGGGGGCACGTAGTTGCGCGACCAAGAACGAGCAGTGGCACTGAGGGAAAGGCACAAGTTTCTGCACTGCCGTTTCGGTTGGGGATGAACGACGAGCACACGCAGTCTGATCGAGTGTACCGACGCAGGAGTAAGCCTCAAAAACCACAAGCCAAACGCAACAAACACTCTCGATCAAGCGCAAAGGCAGACCTGGCACAAGCAGTAGCTACGCTGTTCCCCCATCCAACCGGGCACACTCCTTGTGAAGAACAAACACAAAGCGCAGCGAAAAAAAAAGCCTTCTAGGACCGTAAACTCCTCGAGAAATCGAAACAAATGTCATCGAGAGATTCTTGTTCATGTCCATCACAAAGAAGGAGAAGGAAAGACTGACCTTGACCGTCTGTGAATACATAGCACTACAACGCAGGCAGGACCGACCTTGACCGTGGCAAAGAAGTCGCGCGCCAGGTCCGGCTCGCCTTCCTCCACAGCCAGCGCTAGGTCGGGGAACAACGTGATCACCTGTGCCGTGACGTCAGCAGCACACGCAACCACAAGAGAAAAACGGTGATACCACAGTGACGTCGCGTGCAAAAAACAAAGACAAGAATCCTCGTCGTTTGCAGCCGCAATGCAACCATTGCCGTCACATTCTCGTCTGCTCCGGTACGGTGACGCATGTCGCAAGGAATCGCCAACCCCACCGGTGTGTGCCCCGCGGCTGTGTCGGGTGGTACAAATTACACGGATGCAGGTAAAAAAAGCGCCGGCAGCAGCGGGAACACACGGCATTCTTCCCCCACATGGAGAAGGCCACTAGCGCCTAGGAGAACCTCGCCGCCGTTTTCAGAAACTTCGCAGGTGGGAATCTTCGCCGACACCATCAGGCAACAGATCGAGCGTACCTGAGCAGCGGTTCTCTCGATCTTCTTGAGGAGCGTCACGCTCTCCCTCAGGCTCTCCCGGCACAAGGCAGCAGACCTCCTCAGACTTGCCGCACCCTGCAAAGAAGAAAAAAAACGCCATTGCATACGCCGTCAAAACTTTTATCCAGAGGAAACGCAAGGATATAGACAGGACGTTCGTCACACCATTCTTCCAGGTTCAACACAAGAGCACACCCCGTCCGACTGCGGCATTACCTCGAACGGGCAGTCTTGTGCAATTATACGCATGTTTTCTAAAGTAACAGCTTCGGCACGAGAGCAGCTGTATCTAGGTCGCTTAGGGCCAACAATGTGTCGCGGACCGCCACGAGAACCACAACCGACAATGAGCTGAAACTCCTACACAGATGGTCATCTGTCAGACCTAGCACAACAAGTCGACATGCACACGAATAGAGGTGCTTCGCTTGTTGCGCATGTAGAGGAAAAAATAAGCGGCGCACGCACAATCTTTGAAAAAAGTCCGGTCCTCACAAACTCAACTGACTGTGCAGCACCAACAAGCTGCTTAGCCTTCGTTCCCTTCATGTAGGGCTCTCGCGTACCTCGACAACATGCCTTCTCCCACGCAATCATCGGATCAGCACGTTCAAAAGTGTGATGCCCCTGCCGTCCTTTGCAACATGTACGGTAATGCGGTACTGAACACGGTAAGCCCGTACCAAAAACGGGGACATGCGGCATTTCTCACCAGGGGACAATCGGTGTACGTTCCGACGGCTGTTTCCATGACAGCCGTGACGCGGGCTTGCAACTGGAGTAAGTGACAGACAGACAGACAGACAGACAGACAGACAGACAGACAGACAAGGAGAGATGATACAGATGATGACGACGAGGCACGTGGTGATCCTATCGCCCGTACGGTACGGTACGGTACGGTACGGTACGGTACGGTACGGTACGGTATCGCCGTCCCCTACCTGCAAGAGCGGAACATGTCCGTCTGGAGGTGGTCTCGTGAGGCCTATCCCTTGGTGGTTGTGCACCGAAATCATTGCCGTTTCCCCTCCATTCCTCGGCCCGTCGACCTGCATGCTGTTGCTCCTGTTCATGTTACCGCCGCCACCGATGCCGTTCCTGTTGTCTTCTCTTGGATTGGCGTTGCTAGGCTCCTCGGCGTCATTACTGTTTCGAGATTGGACGCCGCCGCCACCGGCTGCCGCAGTGTCTCCCATGTCGTAGTCAAGGGACGCCAAAGGAGACTCGTCGGGACCAAGCTGATGGACAGGTTACAAAAGCAGGCAGGGGGGTGCATGGATGGACAGTGGTTTGTCATTTATGTTGGTGATGGAAGTGTGACGCTAATGAGACACCCGTGGCCTGCATGGGTGCGGAACTGCAGCGACAGGATAAATGGCACTGCAGTCATATCGTGGCGATTCCAGTAGAAACCAACTTGATCCCCGCCCCCCCCCCCGATGTTTGCCATCGGGGTTAGGTTTTCGTCGCTTAGCAACGACGTTGTAAAACAAGCTCCCCCCCTCGGTGTTTACCATCGGGATTGGGTTTTCATCGCTTGGCAACGACGTTGTAAAACAAGCCAATTCACTTCGTGAACTCGGCAAACAGGTTTTTTTACCTCCTTTTTTTTGGCGGTAACCATAATGGTGGTCGAGTAGATCATGT